TAGTTCTTTGTAGTGGGTGGTGTCAGAGAGCTGTCTGTTGGCTTCCTTTATGTAGTCTTCACGGTTTAGGATGACTATGGCTCCTCCTTTATCTGCTGGTTTTATTACTATTTGGTGGTTAGATCTTAGAGATTCTATGGCTTTTTTCTCTGGTAGAGAGTGGTTATTATGGTGGCATGTGTTGCTGATTATTTCATTATTCGTTCTTTCCCTGAAGGAGTCAATGTAGTGGTCGAGGTTAGGGTTTCATCCACTGTGAGGTGTCCAATATGATGTTTTTGGGGTTTTTTTGGCATTGATCTTTTCCTGAATGTTGTCAGAGGATGAGTTGTTGTTGGGAGTGGGTTCAGTTTGGCTGTGGAAATATTCCTTGAGGCGGAGGCATCGGAAGAATTCTTCTAGTTCTCCACATTGAAGTATTTTATTAGGGTATTTTTCTGGACAGAAATTTAGGCCTTTAGAAAGGACAGATTTTTCAGTTTTGGTAAGCATGTGTGTGGAGAGATTGATAATATTTGTGGGTTGGTTGCTGTTTTCAGTTTTATTAAGTCTGAGGTTGGAAGGTTGGAAGCTGTTGGTGTTGTTCCTCTGGTGGTTGTTTTGTGGCTGGGGAACTTGTTCTTGGAGTAATTTGTTCCATTTCTTCTTTCTATGTAGGATGAATGTTGTAGAAAGTTTTTTGTAGTCTCTTTGTATCCATTGTATATTGTTAGGGAAGATGATTGGATTTCTGTCTTTTAAGTTTTTGTAGTATATGATGATTTCTTTCCTGAGTTGGTCTCTTTTGGAGTAGAGTAGGTGAATTAGATGATTTCTAATTTTCTCTGAAGTTCTTCTGCATAGCTGTGAAGCATATCTGGAGTTGTGTGTAGTAGTCAGAGGATTGTAGATATTTAGTCCTCGGGGAATGAAGTTGTATTTCGCTGTTGAGTTTGGCTTCTTTCTTTTTCATGTTGTACAGTTTCCATTTCAAACAGCTGAATTTGATATCTTCCATGTAATAGGTTGTAGCCGTGTTGGTCTAAGGACATAGGCAGACAAGGTTCTTTGTGTGAATCTAATATCTTTTATTAGACCAACTTAAATAGTTGGAAAACAATTATTAAGCAAGCTTTTGGGTTCAAAAACCCTTCGTCAGGCTAAGGAAGTTTCAGCAGTTGGTGTGTGCTCTTCCTAGATGGAGTGAAAAGTAAAGAAGCCAGAGGCTGGTTTGGTATGCATACAAGACAGGTAGTCAGTGAAAATGTAGATTGAGGAGTCAACGGGTGAGAGACAGGCCGGAGGTGGGGGGGGCGGGGGAGAGAGAGAGAGAAGGGGGATGAATAGTGAAGAGATACTTGGGGAGTCAGATGTCAGGCAGGTTATAATGTGTCATAAATCCAATGTCTATATTTAGTCCATGATTTTTAGTGTCCAGGAGGCTGATGAAGTGGAGTTCATAGGCTTGTCTCTGGGAAGTGTTTTGTAAATTTCCTTTGAGGATCAGGGCTGAGAGATTGGAGAGAGAGTGGTTTTCTTGTCAGAAATGTTCCCCCACAGGTAATTGCGTATTCCTGTCTTGGTATCTAAGGCGCATTAATGAACGTATAGATGTGTCCACTGAAGGCATTAATGTCTAACCTTGAATCCTCTGAAAACTGCTACCTTTCAGCTATTTCAGTGCCGTTAATAAACTACTCTTTCCTCCAGTGAGTCAGGAAAGCCACCACTTACTAAGAGAAGAACCTGGCTGCCTATCCAGATTAGCCTATCCTATTTGTCATTTAAAATGTCCTTTGAGAAATTCATGTCTCTGTATATTTAATAGGGCTTTCTAATGGTTATCATCTTGGCTAATTACTTCATTACTTCTGTTTGTTATCTTGTTACTAGGCACATCTGTGATTGACTGGCTGGTATCAAGCAACTCGATCCGAAATCGCAAAGAGGGTCTCATGCTGGCCTCTTCCCTGTTAAATGAAGGCTACCTGCACCCTGCTGGGGACACTTCCAAAGCTGCAGCTGAAGGAATATCAGACACTCCCTTTCTGGATCTTCCTGATGCCTATTATTACTTTGTAAGTGTTGTGTGCTGTACTTCTATCTTCTGAAGTGCTTGAACTTTGACTTCCTGCTTTCTGGTCTCACAGAAGGTTTCTCAAGTCCTAGAATAGAGATTGTATAGACATGGAATTCTACATTCAGTGTCTCTCCAAGGCTCCTGGAACACAATACAATTATGGCATGATAAATGTGTTAATCACACCATAAATAACAATGGTGCTACATGTTCAGGTGATATATAACACCATAAAGTGGCAAACCAACCACAATATGTGGAACACCTTTGTGGCTTATATGCATAGCACCATAAATTGAATGTGTAGTACTCTTATGCTGATGCTGGCGTGGGGACTGGCATCAGAACTGGAGCCCTGGTCCCACTGCCAAAAAATGGCCTGCTGGGGGAGAGGGTTGCAAGGTTCCCTTGTTGGGAAAACCACAAGAACTACAGAGCAAGGCTCTTTAAAATTCCATATTGTCAGGATCTGGGTTTTATACATTGTGGGGCATGGAGACCCTGGGATGGGGGAGAGGCATATTGATTCTGGAGTCCCTGGGCTTTAAAACTGTGTGTGCAGCTGAACTGGGGCTGGGCTGGCAATCAGCTGATAGTTAGACATGCCCTAGACAGCCCCAGGTCTTCAACTGGTCCCAGACAATCTGGGGTCTCCAATTGGACCTAGGGCTTTTGAGGCCTGGTGCAACAACCAGCACTGGACAGCCATAGCTCTGGAACCAGCAGGGGACATCTCTGGGTATGGGACAGAACTGCTTGATCCACAGGATCTGGCTGGGGGCAGCTCCACAGTGATGCAGTAGGAATATTTTGCCCCATTCCAACCACTGTGCATCTTGCCATGCACATCTGGAATGGAGCAAAACATTCCTGCAGTCTCAATCATGCCACTGCTTTAACATATTTTAGGGGCCTAAGTGACTTTCAAAAGGGACTAGCATAGGTTAAAGTTTTAAAAAGGACCCAACCCTGTAAGCTTGCCCTGTGATCTGAAGGTCAAGCTGAATTCTTTCAAAGTACTGCATCAGGGAACTAGCAGTACTACTGATACCGGAAGTCACGAGTCATCAACCAAACAGTGAGCTGAGCAGTTCACTGAAGGTGGCTAGGCTTGCTCTGCAGTTTTTGTTGGAAAGAAGTGTTAGAAACCATTCTTTTTTTTTGTTTTTTGGTCAGGAAAGGCTGAGATGTAATGTAGCACACAAGTGGAGTAGGTCACCCCAAACCATTCCCAGACAAAGGAAAGCTGCTTTCTTTAACATTTTGTTTTGTTCCTGCCTGATATAGTTCAGACCATGCACAATTAGTCAGATAAGTAACCAGTGTTTTACAGGAGGAATTCATGATTATGCTTCAAGACTGCAGTTACATAAAGAACATGAAAATATCACTCACAGAGTTAAAATACTATTTAAAGATGTTACACTTACGCAGTGGCATTTATTCAATTAAATAATTAAACTTTTAAAAATAATTTCTAATTACACTGAATATATCTATTGAGGACAGCTGGACTTCAATATGATTTTTTGTATGAGAAAGCAGTGTAGATTTGGCCCCTTTATTTATATTCATAAAAAGGGAGGGAGATTGTACTTCTGGTGAAACTGAAGCAGAGAAGTTGTGCCTTTCCTTTAGTAATATTAGCAAGCGTATTCCTTCTTCCTAGACCACGGTGCTCTGTTCTGTTCCAGCTCTGTACTAGTTCTAATGCATGCCATAATTGCATCAAGAAAGCATGAAGAAAGCGTCATGGCCTGTCACTAGTGAACTCAGCCTTACAGAAAGCATAATCATTTTCTATAAACCACGTAGCTGCATTTGCATATTTTGAACTCTGCAGTGTTTCAATAAATTGCATCATACCAATCTGGTTGTGGGATTCTTGCAGAAGGAGCCTAGAAATGCACTAGGAGCTTTGAGAAATCTCACTTAAAAACCCCAGAGAAAGTGTAGAATATTAACCAATTTAGGAACCATGGATCACTTCTTTGGGGCAAGAAGAGGCGAAGCATAAGAAACAGTATTACCTGCTCTGTTCAGCTCTGTGGAAGCTTGTGGTACGTGCTGTTGAAATGACAGGCCTGGCTGGGCAGTCAAAGCATTGAATGGTGGCTCTGGCTGACATCCTTCCTCCTCAAGCCTATAGCTATTGGCTGTGTTCTACTTAGCTTCCATGTATTCCCCTTTTGATATTGAAGGGGGTCAACAGGAACAGTGTGGAAATGCTGAGACCATACCAGTACTCCAGTATGCTTTATGTCTCCTGAGACATGGGCTTTCCATGAACTCCCATCCTTCAGTGGCATGATTCCATGAGAACAGGAAGTAGAAATGCAGAGTTTCTTGGCTTTTCGGGGAGATCTTTTGAGTGGACTGGCTAATTTGGTCCCAAGACTTTTATCATAGGTAACAAAGAACTAAATCCCAAGCACAAACTGAATTCCTTTAAGTATAGAACCAGGTGCCAGCAGTGTCGTTTCTGAATATTTTCTTTTTCATTGTGTTTGTACAGCCAGACAGCGGGTTCTTCTGTGAAGGGAATTCCAGTGACGAGGATGTGGTCCTGAAGGAAGAGTTCAGGGGCATAGTGGTTAAACAGGGATGTTTACTAAAGCAGGTTGGTATTTCACTTGCACTGCTGTTTTATTACAGGAATAACATTACTGAAATATGAGAATAAATGTTATCCTGGAGTTTCTCAAGAAGTCAGAATTAAACTGATCTCTGTTATACTCGGTTGTACTATAGTATTGCCTGCTGGTAGCCCTACTCAAGATAAGGGCCTCATGGTGCTTGGTACTGCACATAGAGATAATGACGGACACTTCCTGCCCCAAGAAGTTTTGAATTTAAATAGACAAGGCAAAATACAAATTAAAGAGCTGCATCTGGTTGCTAGGCCAGCTGGAAATAGACCCCAGGTCTCAAGACTCCAGTACAGTGGCCTTATCCATTCAACTACATTGCCTCCTAAACTGGAATAAATTCCCAGTTCTATCATGATTTTTTGTATGTTCCCAGAGAAGCCACTTGCTCAGTGTCATAACCACTCATCTATACATCAAGGACAAAAACTCCATGTTCTTTCCTTTCTAATTAGATTTAAGCAATACATTGAAACTCACTTGTAACAGGGTAGTCTGTCCCCTTAAGGGGCAGCTAGCTCTGTTAAGGACCTTCAGCGGTGGGGCATTCTGCTTTGAAAATCTCCCAGAAAAGAAAGCAGAGAGAGGGAAGAAAGCTATGAAGAGAAGCCAGAGCAGAAAGTGACTTCTCTCCTAACATTCAGAGATGACAGAGGATTTTAGTTTGTTTGGTTTATTTTGTTCCTTTAGTAGAGACTGAAATTTGTGAAAACAGACTTGTCTGAGAAACTAATAACAGATAACTCCTGCAAAAGGCAATAGGATGCACAACTTGCTTATGCTGCTATAAAACCCTTTCTTTCTGAGACCCTTAGGAATGCCACAGCAGCTGGATATAAACAGAGCTGTCAGGCAAAATCAAAATTCTTCAATAACAATATGAAGCAGAAAAATGGAAAAGACATCAGATCTGATTTAAAGGAGATGAAGTATTGATGTTCTTCCTCCCCACTAACCAATTTAAACCCAAATTTTTAGGTCAGATAAAATTTAAGTCTTGGAGTAATATGGCATATTCCATGCATGCATGAACACTCAGGAGCATCTCAAAGGAAGCCTCATGCTGTGATATAATGCAATTTTCAGTCCAAGGAGTGGAATTTAGTGGAGTTGCTAGTGTAGAGTAAGTCACCTGTGCTTCTAGGAGTGACTTTGTAATAACAGAAATCATTGGACCGCTGTAACCAGATATGGAAAAGACCTGTTATATTATCTAGCCCAGGGGTGGCCAACCTGGACTATGGGTACCACAAATAGTATGGGAAACCTCTTTGTGTGGCATGCAGCAGATCAGGCTGGGGGGGAAGGGGTAGAGGGCAGGTAGCATAAAGCTGAGCATCAGATAAGGCAGAGAGCACAGGACAGGGAGCAGAGCAGGAGACTGGGCAAGGGAAAGGGTTTGGTGTAGGCTGCCAACCCTCCCAGACTGGCCGGGAGTCTACTGGAATCAGCATCAATCTCCCGGTGACTATTGGAAGCAGTCCGAGAGATTGATGTGAATGGGTTGAGCAGTACAATTAATGACATTATGACATTTCCCCCTCCCCCCCCAATGACTTTTTGGGGGGTGGGGAATCTCCCAGAATAGCTTCAGTCAGAGTTGGCAACCCTAGATTGGAGTGGTACTGGGGGAGGGTAATATGTGGCACATCTGACAAAAAGGTAGCCCCCACATTGATCTAGCCCATCCTACCATGGATGCAAGTGACATGAAGTGCTGATTTTCTATTTCAAAAGTTATTCATAGCAATACCTCACTTCCTTTGGAGACTGAGGCCCTGCTGTTGCAGTGAACTCTATTCACTGGGGCATGGGACTGCCCACATAGGTCTTTCCAGTGCACAATGCATGCTATAGAAAACCAAGAAGTACACTGTTAGATATAGATGTTGGGTGTTGCGGTGCCTCTTTTTTGTCTGTGAAAACTTTCTAGTTCGTTCTTCAGAGCAACAGAGAGAAAAGCAGCTTTTTCTGAACTGTCTGCTCCCTCATTATTGATCATAACTGAAACTTTTATAGACGTGTGATTTATCCCTTCATTTCCGTGAGTGTTCATTTCCTCATACACACCACTGTTCACTCAGGTCTAGCGAGTCAGAACTTTCTTGAAATAAGCAGTAGTTAACTGAGAAACCAAAATATTTGGAAATACCTAGAGGAAATGATGCTGGCAGCCTTTGACCACTATTGGCCTGCTTTATCATCCACTGTAAATCATGGTGGACAGGGAAAAGCTATAATTGCTGAGGTGTTGCTACTTCTGTCTAGAAAGTCTGTTAATTCAAGATTAAAGTTGTGGCTAGTAAAACCACCAATTAATTCTAAGTGGAAGCTAATACCTAACTATGGGACTGGGAATTTGTAGCAGTGAACCCTCTCCTGGACTTAAGAGCCTGAGCTAGGTTTTCTCTTTTTTCATAGAGACAGTGTCTTACTCCATTATAGCCAATAGCCTTGGATCATAATACTTACTAACGGGATAAAAGACTTGTTTGTAAATCTCCACTCTGCCTAATTTGGAGCAGAGAATTTAGTTAAGCTCTCACACCAAGTGTATGCCCTAACTGTTGTGCTGCAAGGTCCACAGACTCTCAGGAGAGTCTCTCTCATGCTCTCCCATTGTACCTGTTCTTCTTTAAATATTCATTGGGTAAGAAAGAGAAAGATGATCAGGAATTTTCAAGGGAGGTAGAAGAATAAGTTTCAAGTCCCTGCTTTTATGAGTAGTTTAAAGCCAAAATATTAGCTTTGCTTCTGTTTTCACATTTTCCATTGCATGTATACATTTTCTTTTAAACGAAGAATATTAAGTTACCCTTAAAAACATTTCTTTAGGGGCATCGGAGGAAAAACTGGAAAGTCAGAAAGTTTGTTTTAAGAGAGGACCCTGCATACCTGCACTACTATGATCCAGCCGGGGTGAGACTTTTTTTCTGTTTTTACTAGCATCCTTTAAGAGCTTTCTGTAGAAATCCTCTCCAGTTAGAGATCAAGAACCTGGCCCAGTATGTCTGTTGCTATTCTGTGGAGTAGGGCTTTCAGCAAATATACCCTCTTTCACACCTTTTGTGGTTCTGTTTGTCTGAGTATAGCTGATACATTGGCTTCTGGTCGAAGAGATCAGACAATCCTGCCCATCTAGTTTGTACAAGTCTCTACAGTCTTCTATGAAGTTGAACTGAGGAGGCGAATTCCCAGTTAGCAGGGCCTGTATTCCAGAGGTGCTCCTTGGCTTACATACAGATTCCCCCATGTCCCACCATGTGTGGGTTGGGGATCCCCACTGCCATTTTTCATAGATTTGTGCCATACTTACTCATTATACATTCCTGCTTCCACCCCAGAGCAATAGTCCCGTCTATCTGGCCAGTTTTAAAAACAAAAATGTTTGGTTTTTAATCTGTAGTAACGATGGCTTCTTCCTCCTCTCCACCCCACCAAATCCCTGTCAGGGAGAAGATCCATTAGGAGCAATTCACTTGAGGGGTTGTGTGGTGAGTGCAGTTGAAGACATGCCAGATGGTAAGGAGTACATGCAAACAGTGCAATGCTTTCAGCATACATACATATACACCTGTCTGGATGGAGTCATACAGTGTCATGGTTCCAAAGCAAGCAAGCCTTACTGATGACAGTGCTTTACAGCTATCCAGCTTCTTCCATAGTGAAGGAGACCCTAGTAAAGATATACAGAGACATGTATGTCTTGTCATCTCCCAAGGGCAAGTTCAACCTTGACTTCTGTGTGGGAGTAACCTGCAGGGCTGTGTAAGTTGAGTTTAGTGTGGTCCCTGACTATTGCAGTAGGAGGGTTTAGACTAGAGAGCAGTTGTTCTGCACTTCATGTTCTTCCCAGAAATCAGGGAAAATAGGTTGAGGGAAATAGTCATGGGTAATCCTCCTAAGAACAACTTCATCCCTTATGCCAGGACTGTCCAACTGTTGGCTCATAAGCCATAAGGGATCAATATATGGCCCCCAGGCTCCTGCCTGGCTGCTGCTCACCCTATCACTCTGGCTGCTGCAGTATTTAGGCTTCCCCTCCCTCAGGTTTTGCTTCCTGCTCCAGCATTAGGGGGTGAGACAGCATAGCCCATATGAGAGATCTGCGGTGTGCAGTACAGTGAGATCCGAGGTGCTGGCTGCCTGTATACATGGTGTAGTGGTGTGTGTATTGTGAGGGCAGAGGGGATGAAGGATAGGGGATGGAGGATGTGGGGCTGGTGGGGACTGCCTGCACACAAGTGCAACAGAAAGAGGGGTGTGGCTGGGGACTCATGGCTCCCAAGAGAAGTTGGACAGCCCTGATCTACACAATACATTCCTTTTGATTCCCATGCTCCCTCATAGCATGAAGTACAAGGATGGCTTTTAGCTGCTTGGCTTCCAGGGGAGATGTGCTAGCAGGAGGTTTGGAAACCTGGAGTCCTCATGGTCTGGGATGGGTTTTTTTTTGTTGCAGGTAGCCTTGTCCTGCTGGATGGAACCACCTGCATGTAGATCTCTCTGAATTTGCAAAGACCTTGCCCTTGCCATAGATCTAGCTTAGGGTGGCCCACATTTATTTGTGGGCTTGAGTTTGTAGCTGGGGAGCCTGAGTTTGTAAAGGCACAAGGCAATAATTGTGGTAGAAAGGAAGGAAATTCCCACAGGGTTTTTCAACGCAGGAACTCTGACCAGAGACTTTCATAATTCGCTGCTCTCTTCCCTTTAGCCAAGAAGCATGAAGCTGACAGCAACCTTTTTGAAATCATCACAGCAAACGATGTGCACTATTTCTTGCAAGCAGCCGCCTCTACAGAGCGCACAGAGTGGATCAAAGCAATTCAGCTGGTTGCTAGGACCGGGAAGTAAATATTTGCCACCTGCAAAATGCCTTCCGCTCTCAACCTTCCAAGGGATTTTGAGATGTAAACCAGAGAAAGTGATTTAATCTGGACATCTTCCATGTTTCAGGGATGTATTTGGTAGCTGTGTTGGTCTGAGACAAAAAGAAATGCAAAAATCTAGAACTCTTGGTTCAGAGATGATACTTTTTATTAGATCAGCTGAGAAATTGCAAAAAATTGATCTTTTTCTGCAAGCTTTCATGAGACCTGGAGGGACAGATTTCCAGCTTCAGCTTCCTTTGTGCAAAATTGAAGATTATTTCCTACGTATGGAAACTCTTTACCATTTTTAACTTTCTGTGAGCCTGATGAAGGGCCTGTGAGCCTGAAAGCTTGCAGAAAAAGAAAATTTGGTTGCAGTTTCTCAGTTGGTCGAATGAAAGGTATCGCCTCTGAATCAAGAGTTCTAGATTTTTACATTTCTTTTAATCCAGACAGGTTTCCTAAGGCCTGGAGTAAAGCAGGCTGTTTAATTTCTATAGTGGATGTTAAAACTAATAAATTCTCAGCACTTGTATTGGGAAGATTTTACTAATTTATAGCATAGAATATGCTTCACTAACTTGCGTTGCTTTTTTATTATTGGGCTATTCTGCGAACACCTAGCTCAGACTTCTGTTTCCATTGAAGAGAATGAGTTTTATCATTAATGTAATGATGGGCCAGGATCATACCATTGATGTAAATAAAAATGACTCAGACATTCTAATGGCATCCTGCCTTTGTAACTCCTTTGCATTTCAATGCCTTCAAATAAGTGAAAGAAAGAAGAATTTCACTTTCTTTGTTTACCAGCCAATGGTCTTTCCTGTCATATTTGCCCACACAAGCAAATCTCTTACAGTCAGGGAGTAGAAAAGACCTACTTTAGCAAAGCTAACTTCCTCCTTGCAACAATATTGCTTATGAATGGGAATGGACTCACAGCCACAGAGCTGTCTGTCCAGAACTAGTGCAGTACATGTAGCAGCAACAATACAAGCTTTCCCCTAGCACTTCTTCTGCTGCATCCCACCCCAGCCTGTGACAGAAGGACCATCCCAAGATGAGTATACGTTATTCTCCATACTTCATTCTCTTTGCTTTTGTCAAATTTCCTCACAAGAAATGGGGTGGAGGTCACCATTTAATTTTACAGAGACTACCAAATTAGCTGGTGGAGATCCACTCACTACTGACTCAGGCTGGATTTGAACCAAAAATCTCCTAGGGGGAATTCCATAATCAATTAATAGATCCTTGAGCCATTCAGTAGATATCTTTTCTTTGTCGAATCCAGGTGCAATGTTTAGCTCTTTGGTTTAGTTATGTTTTTTTTTTAAAAAGAAAGAGGGAGCTTGCATCCCTACCTGGAATTAATATCAAGGTGGTGCCATTTGTCTGGTCAACAGCAGAATCTTTGTTGGACTGCATATGTCCATCAAAGGAGACAAGAACGATGGCAACTAGGCAAGTGTGAAAGCCTGTCGAAAATGTCAGATTCTGTGTAAAGCTCAGATCTGGTGTAGATCAGCAACACTCATCAAGTTTGGTTTAGGTGAGCAACCAAACCCACAGGTATTTATTCAGGTCTCTTTGCGTTGTCACTGATTATGAGTTTTGATAACTCATCAGGCATTTTGGATTGCAGCCTCTCTGTATTTTACTACTTTTGCTTCTGAGTCCAGATGAAACCAGGAACTGCTGAGGTGATCAGAAGTGGAGGTGTGGGGTTAACCAAACTGCGTAAGTGTATTCGTGTTCTGGGACAGTATATTGGCTAGTGTTAGGCAATAATTGTGGTAGAAGCCCTTATTTTACTCAAATGAGATCTCCTTCACGTTGGTCAGATTCTGCATCCCTGATGTGACTAGTCACTTTAGCTAATAAGGCTTCTTCTATGAATGAAGTTTGTGGCTAGGTACAGACATTCAAAAAGCCCAAAGCAGAATTGATTTAAGTTATGTGGTTTTCTGTAAGCTGCATAGTTTAGATTGGTAACTGTCATGGGACAGGGTCCTTAAGGATGGCCATGATCTCCCAGGGCCCTTGACTGTGCTAATTCGGCTCAATGGGCACCCTCAGTTCTCGCCTGCCATGTCTTTGATGGAAATATAAAAATAGGGAGGCTGCCTTTAAGTCCTCTTGGACATGGTTTGTTGGACTCTCTGACCCCATGGGTTCCTAGACACCTTGTGGGTCCCATTTTACAATGGGTGTTTCAGGGCACCCTAGCCTTATGGGCTATATGTGCGGCTCCACCCATCCCTTTACCATGCCCCAAGCCTTGCAGATGGTACTGGGATTGTCGTGTCTAGGCCTCATTATAATTTAGCCCCTTGTCTTCATTGGGCTCTCCGCAACCCATGTCTCTGTGCCCCTTGGCGCTGGGCTCTCCACAGCCTGTGTCTCTGCGCCCTTCGGCACTGGGCTCTGTGCCCCACAAAGTGCTGTGCCCTTTCTGGCGCTGGGGTCTGTGCACCCCAGATGCTGCACCCTCTCTGGTGCCAGGGTCTGTGCATCCCAGATGCTACGCCCTCTTTGGCTCTGGGGTACCCATGCTGCCCTGGGCCCCCAATGAGGCCTCCTCCTTCCCCAAATAGCCTCACCCAAACCACTGGTCTTAGAAAATGGCAAACAAAACATAAGCCCCTGGTCTATGACATAACACAAGCTACATAAGGTGTGCTCGGCCCCTCTACATTACCCGGAGCAGAACTTAGTCAGGACTCTTCCCTTCATGTGCTTCAGAAGGGCTCCTCCTCCCTTGGCCACCAGTAGAGAACTACCTTCTAGTCCCCATCCTGGGGTTTATATGGGCCCAGGGCCCTGCCCCTTCTGGCCAGCTGACCAGGTGTAGGTTCAGGCTAATTTCCTCATTAGCTAGCTGCCATGGCAACCTGCACCTGGGCTCCTGTCTGGCTCTTTGGGCTCTTCCCAGGCAGTTTCTGGTCTTTTAGGAGCAGGCACTTAAGTGCCCTGCAACAGTAACTAACAGAACACATCTTTTCTATTTGGTGGGGGGGTGAATCTTAGACTGATTTAAAAGTGGCAAAAACTAGTCTATCAGCCAAACTTCTGTTCTGTTATGGGTATAGACCAGTTTTGTGTGTCAAACTTCTGTTCTGTTACGGGTATAGATTATGCACCCGCCTGCTCCGAACACCTGCATGTGTGCTGCCTTGGCCCGTACTGTAGAGGGTGCACGCTCTCTGGCTTCGTGGATTCCCCAAGGTGGGCTTCGGTTGTCCCTCTGGCCTCCCCTGAACTCACCTGCCACATCTTTGAATGTTACTTCAGTGGGGAGGGTAGCCTCAAAGGTCTCCTCAGAGATGACCACTCCACTCGCGAGATGTTCGTGGGGCTCCACCTCTCCTACACCCCAACCTTACACCAACCTCTGGCAGGGCACCAGGTCTTAACACAGCCACCTCTTCTCAGTGGATATTCCTCATGCCTTATTGTGTCCCTCTTTCCCCCTTGGGGCAGGATCGTTAGTTGTTTCAGGCCCCATGTCTGTTAGTTGTTTCAGGCCCTTTGAGCCTGTTGGCTCTATTCCTTGGGTTGGCACGGGTTCCCCTGTCAAGAAAACAAAACAAAGAAAAGAAGAAAAAAAGAGAACCCCTAA